ATTTAGGGTTTAGGGTTCAGGGTTTAGGGTTTAGGGTTTAGGGTTCAGGTTTCAGGGTTTAGGATTTAGGGTTTAGGGTTTAGGGTTCAGGGTTTAGGGTTTAGGGTTTAGGGTTCAGGTTTCAGGGTTTAGGATTTAGGGTTTAGGGTTTAGGGTTCAGGGTTTAGGGTTTAGGATTTAGGGTTCAGGGTTTAGGTAAGATTCGCTCTCGCCTGGCACTACTCCCTGCCAGAGCTTAGCGTTAAGGGGTGAGATGCCATAATGCCGCATGAATAACTGGAATCGGATTTGGGAATATAGGGTAGTGTAAGCAGAATTACTGCAGAACTCCGAAGAAGTATTGTTGGTAAATATTCCGGGTTCTCTCTCTCACACGGACTCAGTCACCTATCAGCCGCGACGCCGGACACAGCGAAGTCCCCCCCAAAACCTTCAAACCCAAAATGCCATAGACTGAGCCCTAACCCCAAGACACCATAGCCTCAAACCCGCAACTCTCTGGAAGGCCAGGCCACCCGGTTCGTGAAGGTGTCGTCCGGGAAGAGCTCTTCCACGCGAGTGGTGATCCTCAGATGCTTTTGAATGTGCTGTGGAGCTGTGACCTTTGATCACACGTGTTCTACCAAACCCCAAACCCTGAACTCTAGGACTCTCAAAGTCAGCATGGGACAGCAAGCTTGAAATTGGATCTTGCCAAGAAAAAGGAACAATCTACTTCTTGCAATTCCCCAAGCCTTTTTTTTGCACAGGCTTGATTGGAGCTCGCCCGGCCAAGTCCCCTCGCAGCACATCGCACTCGTGGCGAGATTCCTCTGAGCCCTAAACCCTAAACCCTAAACCCTGAACCCTGAACCCAAAGCCAAGAATGGCCCAGGATCTTCTTCGCCTGCATCCACGACCTGGGAAGTGTTCCAAAGACGCTAGATTCTAGATCCTACGGAGCATGTATATATTATAGTAATAATAATAACACAGATACAACTTGGTAGATAGATAGAATCCGTGGGCTTGTTTTGCGTGTTGGATTCAAGGGATTTGGATCCTGGGGCTTGCTTTTCTCAAAACCCCTCAAAATCCGAAACCAGAACGGCATGTCCAGAAACATGTATATAGCATGCATCAGTGGAGATTTGCAGACACACGCAACATATTAAACAACAATGCAAAATGTGACTGTGGATGACAGCGATGGTCCCAAATTTCTGTCCAGGCCGGTTCTAAACGTGTAATGAATGAACAATCGGCAGCTTCAACTTACCTACATTCCCGTGCATATGTTGCCATTGTTCATGGCGGTGTTTTGTCTCATCACAATGGTCAATCAACTGAAGTTCCCATGCTGATTCTGACATTGTCCATGGCAACCTTCATGCATTTCCTCAGGCTTGACATGCTCATTTTGACATTGTTCATGGCAAACTCATGCAGTTTGTTCATCACAAATGGTCAATCAAGTGAAGTTCCCATGCTCAACTTTGACAGTGTTCATGGCAATCTCATGTATTTCCCTCAGGCTTGTCATGCTCATGTTTTGTCTTTGCTCATGGCAACCCTCATACATGCCCCTCAGACTTGTCATTTTGACATCGTTCATGGTATTCTCAATCCTGTTTCTCCTCGCAAATGGTCCATCAAGTGAGGTTCCCATGCTCGTTTTGACATTGTACATGGCAATCTCATGCATTGCTTTCAGACTTGTGATTCTTATTTTGACATTGTTCATGGCAACCTCATGCATGTTTTCTCATCACGAATGGTCAACCAAGTGAAGTTCCCATGCTCATGTCGACATTGTCCATGGCAACCTCACGAATTTCCCTCAGACTTGGCATGCTGATTTTTGAGTTTGTTCATGGCGGCCCTCATGCATGTTCCTCAGACTTGCCATGCTTTGACATTGCGCATGAAAATCTCATGCGTTCATCCAAAATGGTCAATCAAGTGAAGTTCTCATGCTCATTGTTAACATTGCTCATGGCAATCTCATCTATTCCCCTCAGACTTGTCATGCTCATTCTTGACTTTGCTCATGGCAACCCTCATGTATCTTCCTCCCTTGTCATGCATATGTTGACAGCCCTCATGGTATTATCATTCATGTTTCTCTTCTCGAATGGTTCCGTGCATTTCCCTCAAACCTGTGATGCTCATTTTTGATTTTGTTCATGGCAACCTCATGGATTAAAATGCGAATCGAATTGCATGCTTGAGGTCATTTTGAAAACGTTCGAAGGCATGTTGAGAGATTTTGCATTTTTTGAGTCCGGAATGATATGCTTCTTAGTGCATTTTGAAACTGACATGGTTCTGCGCATGTCGTTTCATTGATGTTCATGGTCTGGAAAGTATTTTCTGAAGACACATTTCGGCTCAAATGATGTATTTGTCATCTCACGAATGGCCCTTCGCAATTCATTCAAAGAGACATGTCGACTTGATTGTGGCGTTTTTCACGTGGTGTTCCATATCACATCGCCCTCATTGCACCAATCACTATGTAACACGTGCGGTAGTCGGCCTGATGGCCATACTTGGTCCGGATGCAGGGCTCCTGGTGACTATTCGCTCACTTCACATATGATTCTGCAAACCTTCATGTCATTCTTGCAAGTCGTTGTTCCGAATTTATTTCCAAACATACCCAGCGCGAATCCCAAGCCCGTCCTGGCACAATGATGACTGAAGCATGACACGTGGGAGTACGGTTTCGGTATTCTTTCAAATTCACATGATTGCTCGGCGACATTTTGGCAAACTAAACATACCCGGCTTGGACAGTTTCAACACAAATCAGACCATCACTTCGTTTCTTTGGCAAGTCCGGGATGATTAAGGCATGATTATTCTCACAAAACAAAATTCACACCACATGGCTCCCAACTTTCACTTCCGACATGTTGTCTCCTCTTTCAAATCCGGTAACTTTCAACTTTTGACGACTTTGGTTTGGGCCTCCAAGCCCCTTGGGCCCAGACCCTCAGGATCCACCCCCACCCAAAACAAGCCCACGGATAGAATAGTTAGATAGACAGATAGATAGGGATAGATAGGTAGATAAATACATCGATAGGTCGATCGATGGATGGATGGATGCATGGGTGGGTGGATGGGTGGATGGATGCATAGGTTGATCGATCGGTAAGTACATACGGATCGATAGACAAAAACATAGACAAATAGATTCTTCGTTAGTCGATAGATAGATGGTCAGGTAGGTAGATCGGCAACTGACAGCAAGATGGAGCAAGGGAGCCAATGACATCTGAAAATACATACATGCATACATACATGCATACGACATAGTGTAGGGGCCTGAATAGTTCGAATAGGGTTTTGGGGAATACTTTATTATAGTGATAATAAGGAGCCCCCAAAATAGTGTTGGTAATTATCTAGGCCCCTATACATTCCATCCATACAGGGTGATGGTTGTCTCAGGCGCCGTGGTTCAACACATGGAAGGGCGTTGTCAAGCACATGCGCCGGATTTATCGGAGAACCCTAAACCCTAAACC